GGAAAGAGGTATTCCAGATCTTCTAGCCTCCGCATGTCCTCCAATCCGATGGATATGGTTTTCCGCTGGGGTTCCTTGCGCCTCACGGTGATCTGGATAGGATTGTTCTCGGGGAAGCTGGTCAAGTCTGTATCAACGGTTGCAAACTGAAATAAACCAAAGTCCTCAGAACTCCTGACCCTGAGCTCACCTCTTCGACTCTGCCACCCCCTCATTTGTCTGCTAAATGGGGTCTCCGACAGCCTTACCAACCTATTCATTGACACCAGGAACAGGAACAAAGAGGCGTGATTCAAATCTGTGCCTCCCCAGTTGTGTGCTGTCTTTACTGGGGCCTCTCCTGCCCACCCCCAGGCTGTTCCCTTCTTTGTCCCGCTTTAGACTCTTCCCTCTCTTACCCTCAATGCCCTTGACTTCCTGACCCACTCACAATTATTGATACGAAGTTGAAGAATCCAGAAGCCAATGGCTTTGGGAGACTTTCATTAGAGATGAATGAAAAGATCAATTTGCATTCCCAGTGGGCCCCAAAGTGGCTGAACCCTGAACCCTCCCAGAGGAGAGTGGCCTGGAATTGAGGCTTATTTGCCCAGGGAGAAGGAAAGCCAGCAGGAGGATGAGTCGTGGGGGTATAGGGGTGTTCCCAACCTCCAAAACCCCTGGCCCACACCCCTTGGGCCCTCCTTCTCCCAGGGCTCACTTTGCAGGGCTTGCACCACTTCCCCACCCCAGCGGTGTTGGCTGCGCAGACAGTCAGGCAGTAACTCGTGTTAGTCTTCAGCTCCATCAGCTTGACGGTGGTGCCCAAGATCTTATCGAAGATCCATGGGTGATTCTTTGCCTTGGGCATCTCACTATCATTTTTCCTGACCACCTCCTGCAACAGGACCTGGTAGAAACTGACCCGCTGCTTGCCTGGGGCGTAGGTCCAGGAAATCTAGGGGAAGAGAACCCCCGAGGCTTCCTCAGACCTGGCCTGGCCTGGCCTCCCCTCACCACCCCGCCATCCCTCACAACGTGGGTCAGAGACCCCACTCCCATGCCTGCTCCTGCTGGAGCTGAGGTAGAGCTGATGGAAAGTGTTAGGTACTCCCAACACTAAATATGGCCCCACCAGCCCAAAGCATGAGCAACTCTCCCTGGGCAACCTCACCAACCTCAGAGTGTACCCTCACTCCATATTCTAGACTGTGTGTCAGTTGAAAGGGACCTTAGCCATCATCTCGTCCACCTCACTCATTGCAGATGGGGTTACAGGTTCAGAGAGAGCAAGTAGCTGGCCCGTGGTCACACAGCAGTTAAGTGGCAGAGCCAAGGTTCAAACCAATAGCTCCAGAGTCCATATACTTTGTACTACAACAGTGGTTGCCAAGCCAGGATCTCAGAGAGTTTTTATAACACTGCAGATTCCTGGCCCTGCTGTCACCTGTTTTGTCTCCCATTTCCAATTTCTCCTCTAACTAGGCTAGTGGTTCTCAAACTCTGGTGTGCATCAGAATACCCTGGAGGACTTGTTAAAACAAAGACCGCTGGGCACTCCCCTGGTGGCACAGTGGTTAAGAATCCGCCTGCCAATGCAGGGGACACGGGTTCGATCCTTGATCTGGGAAGATCCCACATGCTGCAGAGCAACTAAGCCCATGCGCCACAACTACTGAGCCTGCGCCCTAGAGCCCGTGAGCCACAACTACTGAAACTCACGCTCTGCAACAAGAGAAGCCACCACAATGAGAAGCCCACGCACCACAATGAAGAGTAGCCCCCGCTCACTGCAACTAGAGAATGCCTGTGCACAGCAACGAAGACCCAACGCAGCCAAAAATAAAATAAATAAATAAATTTATAAAAAAAGAAACAAAAACACAGACCGCTGGCCCCTGCCCCCAGTTTCCAATTCA